TTTTGTAATAAGATTTATTAATTAAAATAAATCCGCTCATTTTAAGCCCAACATCCATGTTTTGTAATATTTCAGAATATTACACATTAATAAACATTTAGTAATCTGATTATTATGTAAGATGAATAAATGACTGATATAAACTTGGTACCATTATGATTATATGTTCAATAGATTGTTAAAGGAAATTAATAATGTTGTAAGCAAGTTTTGGTTAGAAAGTTCACAATTTTACTGTAGTGTTAGTTTGTAAACAGTCATTTGTGGTCTGAATTGGTCATACTTTCAGAAATAGATGGTTTCAATTTTTTATTTGCTTAGAGTATATTATATAATATATAATACTGTACTGTTCACATGATATAAAAAGACAGGTTTACCAAGACACTTATTTGCTGTTTACACAGAAATCTGTGGTGTTATATTTATATGTTATATTTATATCATGACTGTGAGGATCAATAAAGATAACTCAATAACCATTACAGAGACAAAGGAGTGTTCACAGTATATCCATGATATATAGAGACAGGTTTCCACTTAGAAGTGTTCACCAAGACACATATTTACTGTATATAGAGAAATCTGTGGCATTATATTTATATGTTTTATTTATAATTATAATCATGACTGTGATCAAGAAAAAATAACTCCATAAGCATTACAGAGACAAAGGAGCGTTCACTGTATAGCCATGATATATTGAGATAGGTTTCACTTAGAGGTGTTCACCAAGACACATATTTGTTGTATACAGAGAAATTTGTGGCGTTATATATATATGTTTTATTTATAATTATTATCATGACTGTGAGGATCAAGAAAAAATAACTCCATAAGCATTACAGCATTCCAGAGACAAAGGAGTGTTCACTGTATAGCCATGATATATTGAGATAGGTTTTCACTTAGAGGTGGTTACCAAGACACATATTTGCACAGAAATCTGTGGCGTTATATTTATGAACACAAAAGAGTGTTCACTATATATATAACCATGATTTATCCATGATACTAGTATATAGAGACAGGTTTTCACATAGAAGTGTTTACCGAGACACATATTTGCTCTATACACAAATATTTGTGGTGCTATATTTATATGAGGTTAAACAAAAAAGGATTCCATAAACATTACTAAGGGGTGTTCATTGTATCCATGATATACAGATTCTAACACATAGAAGTGTTCACTAAGACGCATATTTGCTGTATACACTTTAGATCACATGTAAATTGTATTGACAAAGACTATTAATAAATATAAATCGATTAACCATAAATAAAATCTTTTGTTATTGAGGGCCTTTACTGAAGTTTTACAGAATGATTAAAATAACTTCAAAGATTTATCAACCAATGCATAAAGAACGTGTAAAGAATCCATAAGGAAAGCAGCAGTCTGTCAGGAATATGTAAAGAAAAAGTAGAGAATCTTTACAAAAACTCTATTGAATCAGTAAAGTTTGAAACTTGTATTTACAGAATAAATGCAGTATCATTACAGATTCTCTAAACTCGTTTCTTTATCGAAACATTGCCGTGATCAAGTCCGAACAGTTTCATTACAGTTTTGACAGTAAAGAATCTGTATGGATTTTTTATGGAAATTGTGATGGAAAAAATTGCCTGTGTACCTCTCAAGTTTTCCAAAAAACACATCTAAATTGTTTGAAAGAACACGTCCAGAACAATCTCCACTGTTAACACTTGGTCACCGTGTTATTGCCCAGACACACGAACAGACGGACGAACGGACGGTCGGACAAATGGACAGACGGGCGAACGGCTTTTCTATATCCCCCTCAACTTTGTTCGGTTGGATAATAACTTAAAGCTGTACTAAACAGTGCTATTGCATTACAAATGTGGGCCAGTGATATGAGGTTCACTTGCAATATTGGGAGACATGATTGACATAATGGTGGCCATTTTTCAAAATCAATTTTTCAATTTGTACCATGCTTATAGTATTCACATATCAAACAAACGGATTAGTTACCAGTGAACAAAACTCATTTCATAGAAATTGAAAATAACTTGGGGATTAAACTATTAATCTATTGCTCTGACATCAATACATGTATGTGAACGGCGAAAATCTGCATGATTTTGAAAGAATTGTTGGCCAAGGGGAGGGAATCGTTACTTGTTAGGTACGGGCATGTTTAAAATGTGCAATGTATTTAGCTAAAATTTGAGCAGTTCTGTGTCAAGACTATTTTTGTGGTTTGCAAAGTGAATACAGGTGGTTGTTTGTGCCTGTGTAATGTGGCAGAGAAACAATGGAGTAAAAATGTCAGGAAACCCATTAATTAAAAATTAACTTTCCGTTGAGTCAATCAATTAAATCCAAATTTTAACACAATGTTAATCATAACATTAGGGACATTATGCAATCAAATAATTATGAAAAACTTAGTTTTCAAATTATTTTTGTGGAACTTAGAACTGTTGGCTGTAGGAAATTGATCCATTACCACAAACAAACGGATTAGTTATCAGTGTCAACGAAACTCATATTAAAGAAATTGAATAATTGGGGATTAAAGTTTTACTTATCATATTGCTCTGATATACATATGTACTGTACGTCCAATATGTTATTTACATCAGTTTGTTTTCCATGCTCCAATTTTCTCAAAGTGTAAGCATCGCTTTGTCAGATGAAACTTTAGGAATTGATGTAAAATGAACCCGCTTCTTTATTTTCATTATCAAACAACTAAACATACCGAATCTCGCACCTTTTGAATATATATATTTGAAAATCGAAAACAAAGAAAGGTAAATAAAACTAGCTGTAATAAAAAGAAATGGTCCAATTGTAGTAGAAACAAATGTATTACATCATGGACTAATCTGTTGTTTATATCCGTGGTTTATATCTCAGATATTATATTGATAACAGAAAAAAATAAATTGTAAAATGTGAGAGAATACAAGATTTAATTTTGTTTTAGCATGGCTTAACACCACTTCTTGTATCATGCAAACTTAATGCATGTTTCCTAATTTATTATCAGAGATTTGTCAGAAGAAATCGGAGCAATATATCCAATATATTATACCCTGCGTGCAGAAGTTAAACTACAAAGACGAAGCTCTCTTTTAAGAAGTGAAGTCAAACGAATGCAAAGGGTAAATATATTACAGGCTCGTAATAAGTTTTAGCCCAGAGGATCAATTTTCAAAATATACCAACGGGTCACAATTGATAGTTTTGGCCCAAAATCACTTAACAGTGCTAAGATTGGTAAAACTATGTAGGATTTTGACAGAGAAACAATTGAGTTAAATTGTGAGGAAACCCAATGGAGTAAAAATGTGAGGAAACCCATTGATTAAACATTAACTTTCCGTTGAGTCAATCAATTAAATCCAAATTCTAACACAATGTTAATCATAACATAAGGGACATTATACAATCAAATAATTATGAAAAACTTAATTTGCAAATTATTTTTCGGTTGAAATTAGAACCATCGGCTGTAGAAATTAATCCATTAACTCTAACAAACAGATTATCTATCAGTGTGAACAGAACTCAAATCATAGAAATTGAATAATTAGGGATTAAAGTTTGACTTATTACGCGTATATTGCTCTGGAATGTCAATACATGTATGTGAATGGTGAAAACTACATGATTTTGAAAGAATTGTTGGCTATGGGGAGGGGGGTCCTTAGGTACGGGTCTGTATAAAATGCATAATGTGTTTATTGAATATTGAGCAGTTCTGTATCATGACTGTTGTTTTGGTTGACAAAGTGAATGGTTGTTTGTACCTGAGTGTGAGGGGGATTTAAATGTTGTTTGCTATAAACTTAGTGTGACAGACAAACATTGGAATAAAAATGTGAGGAAAACTAATTAATTAAAAATTCAAAAATCAACTTTACAATAATTTTTAATTTATTGATTGAATCAAATATTTAACACAATGTTAATCATAACATGATGGACATTATACAATCAAATATATATGAAAAAACTTATTTTGCAAATTTTTTTTTTTGAATTAAGAGCCATCAGCTGTAGAGATTAATCTATTAACCCTAACATACGGATTAGTTATTCAATAATAAATTGTTATTAACATTACATTATGTACCGAAGAATGCTGTACATTACTTAAAACCTAAGTGCTAAAATTATGGTTCTTTATTTTATTAACATTAAACTTTATTGATAAACAAGAGATAAAGAATATGGTTCAGATTCTCCCTATTTGTTTATTTAATGACTTAACTACCGGAGTAATTGTTAATAAGCCAGATAAGTGATGTTACCTAATTAGCGTCGCAAATAATGAGACTTGATGACGTCATTTCGTATATTTACCGTATCTCCTGTTTTGGGAAGTCTGATATGAGAGTATCTCCTGATATAAGCTGATATCTGCTGATTTTAGCACAGAATAGGCAGCGTATCTCCTGTTCTTCATGTCCGATATTGTATGAATAGTAAAGTATAGTCAATGTTTTAAGAGTATAGATAGAAGATGTATAATATAGTTAGCAAATCTCCTGATTACCACGGGTATAATATGGGGCCTATTCTGTGGCATACCATCAAATAGTTAAGTAGAACTGGTTCGATACGCAAATTTGTCAGTATCAGAGATATCATATCTAACTATATTTTGGGGGATTCTAGAGATATATACAAACTATTTGTCCAAATCTCTTGAAATCAAACAAGAGATACCGCACATTTTGCACAGTGCATCAGCATATAAAATTTGAACCAAATCCATCAACTTATATTTGAGTTATCAAAGATTATATCTTTTACGAAAAATGGCGGCCATTTTGAATTGAACTGCAATATTGAAAATTCCTTCTTGAGCAGAGGTTTAGACACACTAACGGATGGATGGAAGATCGGAAAGACCAACGGCTTTCCTATATCCCCCTCCAACTTCGTTTGGTGGGATAATAACTATTAAATGTAATATGGAGTATTCATCTGTTGAATACCAGGAGGTACTACTTACCATGTCAATCACCATGCGCCGTAATGTCTGCCTTTGTTTGTTTGACAGATTAGTAAATATGTCACAGTTCTCCTCTTGTAGAAGTTTAAAGGCAACAGCCAGGTGGTGATTCTCCAGTACTGAATCATCATTGTACATAAGAGCTAGCTCCGAACCTTAAACAACACCAATCATTTCAAATTAAAGTTAGCTCAGAACCTAACTAGAAAAACAGTAACTCCACGGAGTAGCAAATCCCAATGAACAAAACATATTTTGATAAATAGCGGTCATATAAAACTTGAGCCAAATCCATCCACTGGTATTTGAATTATCAAAGATTATGTTTTTATGAAACATGGTTGCCATTTTGAAATTCAGCTGTCATCTTTAGATTTCTTCTTTAGCAGAGTTATGAGTTATGAGTTATCAAAGATTATATTTTTTCCCAAAAACACTTCGTTCGGTGGGATAATGAACAACAATAATCATTTTAAACTGAAACACATACATCTATCCATCTAGGCAATAACTGAATGTGTTATACCAGGTATGTTATGTTTTTTACTATAACTCGAAAAGTAGTGGAGCAGTTGAAACTTTGTATGTGACAACTTAGAAGCATTTTACGCTTTCTTAAGACACTTTGGCTAGTAAGCGGCCAGTTTGAAAAATTGTGGCCATTTTCATGTGTATTATTTTACGTATTTGGCTATTACTCAAAAACTTTAATAATTGAATACTAAGAATACACTGTTTATGACAATTTGGCAAATCGGCAGCCATTTCTAAAAATATAAGTCATGGACATTCGGTGGGATTTGCTACTTCTTGAAGTTGCTGTTATCTACACTGTTGTTCTATATTTAAACGCATTTTAAATAAGTGAAACAACAAAAACAAAAGTGTTTGGAGCTGTAGAAAGTATATTGTATAATTACACGTAATGATACATAAGATTACATAAGATTACATAACAAAAGAAATTACATAGAGTTACATAAGATTACATAACAAAGTAATCAGAAAACAAAACTTCCAAAACCTCCAAAGAAGTCAAAAGATGAGCTGCTTATCAATGGATTACATCTTGGTAAAGTTTTGTAGCTACTGGATTGTTCAAATACATTTTGTGAATATTGTGTGAATCATATATACACCGAATTCTTGTTTTAAAGTCTCAAAGACACACTAAATAACATCTGTCTTCCAAATTTGGTTACTCACTTGTGTTTATTAGAAATTGATTGGTTAGCCCTGGATGGTCTACATCATGGATGGCACAAGAAAATATAGCTGCCAGGATCTCTAGGTCTGTGAACACATTCTAAATACAAACAATTACAAGATGATAAAACTTATTACACAGTCTAGCAAATCATGTCATTATGAGAAAGTTAACCAAACAACCAGACATTGACTTCAAAAAGGTGGCAAGCATACAGCTGTACCATATGATCTTATCGCAACAAATACTGACCTCTAAAGCAGGTACTGACAGTAAGACATGTGTGGACTGAGTCACATCAGCAGCATGCATACGATTGTGATAGGGTACATCTCTGTAATGATCTTCTAAATGCATAAGATATGTGACTAGAGTATTTGGAGGGATTTTGAATGTCTTTAATAAATCTCGTTCCTGAAAATAAAAAATAAATAATTTGGAAAACATAATATAAACAAAAATTGTGAATATTTTTGGGAGTTGAAACTCGAGCATTGTGCAACTGTTGGGTTATTTATTAAAGAGCTAGGGGATAACAGTCATATGAATATTTATAGTTAAAGAAATATTTTGTTGGATTCTATTTCAGTATGGCTTTCCTGAATAGATGTGCAAATGTATAGATGACGCTTCAACTATAAGTTACTGAATGATTGCAAATCAACAGTATGATACTAGATTTACCTTAAAAATTTGGTAAGTGACTGCGGTAAGAGGTCGTTTTCCTGATAGCTCAGAGATCTTGAACATGTCAACTCCCCATCTATCTATGTCACATAGAATCTGAAATACCAAGAAAGCATGTTGACTGTGTGGCATATTGCATATACATTATGACAATATGCATGATGGCGGTACTTTATGATGTATTGATTGTATGAGAGTATATGACATGTTGATTGGAAAGCAAATTGCATGATAGTGTGCTACATGACATGTTGATTATGCAGCAATGTGTATGATGGGATGTTAAATGACATGTTGATTGTATGATGTTGATTATGCAGCAATGAGTATGATGGTGTGTTAAATGACATCTTGATTATATATAGCAAATTGCATGATAGTGTGCTACGTCATGACATGCTGATTATGCGTGCATGAATATTTGCTATATGGCATGTTGATTGTAAGGCACTATGAATGATGGTGTGCTATATGGCATGTTGATTATATTTCAATGTGTATGGATGGTGTGCTATATGTGTTCATTGAATGATACTGGAGATGATGATTTAAGTGCCATAGCCAAAATCATACCACTGGATACAATTTCCAAAATTCATTAGAAAAAGTGTATTCATGTATCAATAATTTTCCATAAACATTGATTCCTGCTTAATGTCTGGCTTAAATGGCTTCACTATTATATAATATGACCTAGTATTTGTTATTTTTTAATCCAAGAAATGTAGATATTATATATGTGACCTTACTCTTGGATATCAATATAAAAGTGTAGATATAACAAATACTGTTGAAGGTTTTTTGTTGTGGTTGGGATTCATGCAAAAAATTCAAATAGATTGACAGTCAACTGATTTAATATGTACCTTTGCAAGTTCCATTTCATGAGCTGTTTCAACACCATATTTAGGCATGTTGCCTGTAAAGCTGTTTGTATGCCGTAGTTTCCGCACACCCGTGATCTGAGACATTGGTGTGGATTTCTTTTTTTCTTTTTTATTCTGTATGGTACTTATATCTGACTCATCATTTTTTGTCACTGGCAAATCTATTTCTTGTTGTCTGTCTGTAAAAGATAGTATAGGAATCACAAGATATCTGAAAAGGTCCTTGAAGTGTTCAATGAAGGACCCTGTGCTCACACAGTGTATAGTGGGTCACATAGGGGGCTTAATCTCCCTTCTTGCCTAGGGAAGGTTTGAAGAGCTAAAAAGTTGTAAATGATCACCTTACAAATGAATCTGCTCCGTCTGTCATTACTTTCTCTGGCGAACATTTTTTTTCCCAATTTTTCCCCTCCCCAAAATTGTAAAAGGGGTACCTAAATACATGGCAATATCTCAGATTACCTTTAACCAATCTTTATCATTTTTGCTACATAGATACATTGGGTATAGACAAGTATATTGCAAAGGTGTAAGAAAAATTGGCTTCTTGGCCTTCATTTGAGGGACGAATGAAGAGATTTGTCATGGTAATTTTAGACATTTTCAACTCTTGCCGCTTTCATTGTTGCAGGGTCAACTAAAAAATCAGGATCGATACAACACCAAAAAATTATATTTCAAAAATATCTCCAAACTATACTTGATACTGTAATATGCTTATTATTAGACTCCAGATTGAAAATCTGGAGTCTATTGTTTTTGCCTGTTTTCTTATTATTCTTTTTCTTCTTCTTCTTCTTCTTCTTCTTCTTCTTCTTCTTCTTTCTTCCTCCTAACAGATTTTCTCTCCAACTATAACATCTTACTTCATCCAACCTACATGGTTGACTAGGGAATGTATCTGGCTTTCTGGGAAATTAGGTCAAATTTTTATGTAGGTCAAAGGTCAAGAACTAGGTCACGTCCTACATTTTCAACATTCTGACATTTATCTTCCTACATCTTTCATCTAACTCCTTCATCTTACTTTCATTATGTAGCTTAGAAAAAGCCCTTTCATAAGTGTGCCATCAGATTTTTGATTACTCTTACCGATTTTGAGATATGGCGTCCGGAAAGTAGGTCAGAACAAAAAGTTCTCCAAATTCAACATGTGAGTTATGAAATAAGTGTAGAATGATCTCAGGAATCCGAAACTGCGGTTCGGAAGTTATGGCGTTTTGAAAGCTCAAAAATCGCTAAATTTGGTGCCTATGTTAAGTCAATGGGAAAAAAGACTTTTTCGAAGTGTAAAATACAAGATATAGACTGAGTACAGCTTAACATAATGAATGCTTATAAAAGAAGGGGACCTCAAAAGCTACAGTAGCTTCAAAATTTGGACACCAAAATGCCTAGGTCAAAATCTAGGTCAAAATCTAGGTCAAATTCATAGTTTTTCCTTATATTTACGATTCTGACACTACACTTTAATAATTTACTTCAAAATTTTGTATACAGGTAGCAAAGAGTGTGCTAATAGTGTTAGCCTTCTGCCGTCATAAAGTATTTTAACCCACTTTTGAGATATGGTGTCTGAAAAGTAGGTCAAAATAAAAAGTTCTCCAAATTTAATGTATGAGTTATGAATTAAGGGTACAATTTTCTCAGGAATCAGAATCTTTAAACCAAATTTCGATCCAACTTCTGATTAGATAGTTATAGCGGTTTGAAGTCTCGAAAAGTCGATATGATGATCGATATCCCCATGTTAGGCCAATGGAGTCGAAGATAACATTCTTAAGAGTTGTCTAAATGTCTATATTCTAGCTGACTCAGCTTATGCTGAATGACTCAGCTTACAAGTATTTAGATGACTCAGCTTAAAAAAGTCTGAAATCTGGAGTCTTAAATTGAACTTGTTCAATTTACATGTCTAAAGAGCTAAAAAAAAGTGGGCTTGGTCAATAATGTCAGTGTTACAGCATAAAATTACATAAACATATCAGTTCAACACAAAGCAATATATTTAGAAAATATCTTTAAGCTATAGTTATATTATCAAAGCTAAATTGATATTTTCAATTGATTTGAGTTAATCATAAAGGTATTTCTAGGGGTCATTTTGTGTATTTTTTAAGGTTTTCGTAAAATCATGGTCTGTACGAGGAGGTTTTGTGCTTACAAATCTTAATCATGTTTAAGAAAAATTCATCTATGAAATTATCGATTTCATCACCCATCACCTACCCCCTCCCCGAAAACTTGGGTATTCAAACTGGACCAAGTATTTTATCTGTGACTGGATAGTTGTTCCTATTTATAAAAGTGCATGTTCTTGTAAAAAAATTAATCTGGAATACTTCAAAGAACACTCTATACATTGAATCAAACTGCAACCTATTTATGAGAGGAGAAAGTGAGTTCACAGAAAACAAGAAGCTAGAAGACAAACCTATAACTTACATCTTATATGAATAATCTGTCAACTCATACACTAGCGAGCTTCACAGATGCTTTTCAGATATATAAAATTGTTACTGTTATCCAGAGTCCACAGTCTCTGAATATAACTTAGGAATGCAGGACTTTGTATCACATGTGATGTAAAAGCATGGAACTCTCCCCATGCATTGTACACTCACCTGAATGCTGTGATACAACAGAGCATAAATGGACCGACAAATCAATTCAATATCTGAAATATGCACAGTCAATACGAGAAAGGGATTCCAGAGACAATGCATTATGTGCAGGCATACCAGGGAATATAGACAAAGCATCACACAAAGTGCATCAATGGTGCTACAAGAAGTTTACAAATACTGCACATATTTTAAAACGAAAACCTGAAATAAGTGGTCCATCCTCAGCTAAAAAACCAAGAATATCTAACTAACAGCCTAATAGACTTTTCCCACTCACATGCATTTTTGTGAAAAAGGAACAGGTGTTAGGATCTCTGGTAAAAGAGAAAAGCTTAGCAAATGCATGACGAAAGATGCTGAAAATAAGATCAATGAAACTGCTAAGCAACTTAAGCATACTTCCATTCTCTTAAAAATCTGCACAGAAGATATGATTGCAAAGGAGGCTAGATACCATGAAACATGTCGGTCAAAATATTTATTAAAACTAAAGCAACACTCTGATGGTGAGAATGTCAGTGTAGAGGCACATAAACTTGCATTTGAAGATACCTGTACATATATTAAAAATCACATGATTGACTGTAAACAAACGGGCAATCTCAGAGACCTTGCGCAACGATATAATAGGTATATAGAATCACATTTTCTAGAATTAAAAAGTTCATATAAGCAAATACATTTATCAAAGAAACTAGAAGGACGATATGGTGACACATTGAAGTTCGTAAAGACTAACTACCATACTACAACAATCTTTCACAAAGATGTCTTGGCACAAATGGAAAATAAATCTAATGTGTCCAAAGCTGCAAACATACTGAGGACAATTGTGTTAGAAGCATATAAATCACTGGAGCAAACCACATCTGTAACCGCAAGTGATATACCTGAATTCAATCCCCCTGATGTATTGCTGGAATTTACATCAGAGTTACTTTCTTGGAAACCATTTGTACAGATCACATGTCCAAAGACTATAATACTAGTAACCATTTAATCATTGGCAAAGGACATATGGTATTCGATTAGTTGTGGCAAATGGAAACTACCAAAACACATTGGACTTGCCATGTCCACAAGGGATTGCCACTGACATACTGTTTGCAGATGCCACTGGAAGGGAGGCTAACTTCATAAAGGATAGGCTAATTGATAAAACTGTTCCTTTCACAAACCCAATAAAGTGGAATAAGTTGAGAAACTTTCAGTCCACATCAAAGAAAACTACACTGAAGAATACAATAACAAGTTAATCCAAGTTAAGGCAGAGAGAAACATCTTTGGGCAACTTGTTGTTCTGTCAGAACAGCACAATATAAATATCCGTACAGTGTTAGAATATCCTTTGAGTCCAATCCCATGGGCTCTGGGAACTCCAGATGGTATGCCTGTGAAGACTGACATAGCAAAGCTTCTACACGAGTTAGAAAAGCACAATGTGAAGGTTGAAAACCTGTCAAATGATAACACAATCCATGTACTAGATGGCAATGCCCTATTCCACGGTATAACTGAGAGGCCTTCAACATTTGGTGAACTAGCTGAAAGGATATTTAAGATACTTCCAAAATCTGAGGAATGTCATTTTATCACTGACGACTATCAAAAGTAATCAATCAAAGCACCAGAAAGGAAGAGAAGAGGCCAAGCACAGCCCTATTTAATAGATGGTCATAAAACCAAAATTTGGGTGAATTCCTCTCAAACAGTAAAAATAAGATAAGTCTCATCAAACTTATCCTGAAGGAATGGAAAAAGATAAGTTTGCTTAAATGAAACAAGGGAGAACTATCTATTTTACTTACCAAGAAAGTACGAAGAAACTCACAAGTGATGGAACTGAAGTAATGTGTGAAGATGTACCATCCCTGTTTTATAACCATGAGGAGGCAGACACCAAGATTGTTCTACACACACTTCACATATCAAAACGTTTTGATACACAAAACTTAAAAATCACTGTGAGATCACCAGACACTGATGTGTTTATCATTCTATTGCATTATGCCAAGAACATAAAAAAACACCAACTTCTGTTGGACACAGGGGTGTCAAACAGCTCAAACAGAGCTTGTGGATATCTTCAGTGATGTGCTAGAGGAAAATGATGGAGATAATTCCCAAAATGATATAAATAATATCATAGATGAAGTTTTTTCTTAATCATGATAAGATATGTAAGTACAAAACCTCGTAACAGACTTTGATTTTATGAAAACGATAAAAATACTGAAAATAACCCCTAGAAATACACTTATTATTAACTCAAATCAAATAAAATTATCAATATAGCTTTGATAATATTACTATAGCTTAAAGATATTTTCTAAATATATTACTTAGTGTTGAACCGATATGTTTATGTAATTTCATGCTGTAACACTGACATTATTGACCACGCCCACTTTTTTGGGGTGGGGCACTGGTCAATAAAAAATACTAAACAGTATTAATTAATAAAAATAACTAGACTTTGGAAATTCATGAAATTGAACAAGTTCAATTTCAGACTCCAGATCTAGACTTTTTTAAGCCTAGTCATCCAAAAT